ATGCTTACAAGCTCATATGTCATTATCTCAACCATACTTGATCACGGACTTACACAGTCTGGATCAGTGCCTTCTTTGAGTTCATTAGGCCTTGATGATCAGAGTCTGACAGTACCCTTTTGACAACTTCTATTTAAGACTGGTATTGCGTATAGACGCTAACACATACACACACGCACACACTCGAGCAAAAGTAGCAGGACCAATGTGAAAGATAATTGGCCAAACCACTTTATATATATTTAGATTTTTTTTAATTTTGGCTCAATTGAGTCTACATAAGAGATAAGATAGAGTAGGATATTCTTCTTGCCCAAGTGTTAACATGATACTTTTACAGGAACGGGACCCAGCTGTGATGATGTCCTTCGAATGATGGACGAAAGCTCAGCCCGTTGAATGTAAAGTTCGGTGATGGTTCTAACTTCACTCACACTCGTCCAACATGTTAAATTAAGATCATCAACCAAATCAGACGTGCCAGATTATGCAGCCATAGTCATGCCTTTCCTTGGGGGGTTGCACGTTAATAACCCTAGACTGAAAGGTTAGGACAAGTGGTTTTGTATCTTAACTTACATGCTTACAAACTCATATGTCATTATCTCAACCACACTTGCTCACGGACTTACGCAGTCTCAATCAGGGCTTTCTTTAAGATCATTAGCCTTTTGACAACTTCTATTTAAGACTGGTATAGCGTATAGACGCTAAAACACACACACGCATTCACACACGCAGACACGCGAGCAAAAGTGGCAGGACCAGTATGAAAGATAATTGGTCAAACCACTCCATATATATTAAGATTTTTAATTTTATTTTGCTTAATTTAGTCTATATAAGAGGTAAAATAAAACCGAATAATCTTTTTGCACAAGTGTTAACGTGAGACTGTTACAGGAATGAGACCCAGCTCTGATGATGTCCTTCGAATGATGTATGAAAGCCCAGCCCGTTTTCACCAGAAACGAGGCTGGACTGCATCAACCTGAAGGTTGTATGAAAGCCGCAGTACAACGGGATGCATCCGTCGTCTTCTGGTGAGATCGACCTAGGAATCTCTTCTTCATGCACTTTCATGTGAAATGTAAACTCCCCAGAAGATTCATTAAACCCAGTTTTTCTCTTTATCAATCAAGTAAGTATGAAACTTTGTGATCAGGATATACCTCATATTTTTGTCTAAAAGCACACTTTGTTACTTTTCTCTTCCCCACTCAGCGTGGGTTACTTTACGTCGTAGCACTAGGAAAAAGACATACAAACTCTGCTCGTGGCAGCCTCATCCTTCAGACCGACACCCATGCCCCTCATTCTCCCTCCGTCTCCGTAGCATCATACTGGGCTTATTACTCCACGTGGAAAGAGCGCATAATTAGACTATGGCCGTCGCCCTAAGACTTGCCTTACATTGTACATCACACAAGTGTGTGTGTGTGTGTGTGTGTAATTTGGTCTTTGTACGTTTGTTAGTCAGTCGAAAGATGAGAATATGGAAAACTGGCTGTCATTCCTGAACAACATACCATTTTGGTAGCAGAATATCGCCTTTTCGTCGACCGACTGCAGGCATTCCGAGTTCACTTCAACGAGGGTCTCATTCAGGGCCTTCTAAAACGGGATGAAAGGCAGCGCATTAATATGCATGGGTTTATGTTTTAAATTAATTTTCTGATGAGCCGACATTTCATTGGCTTGAAGAAGCAGAAAAATGCACGTAGAAAGAAGATAAGCCTCAAATAGATTCTTGTCTGATCAAAGCTCTTACACCCAACACGGGTTAAACATTGCATACACCCAATACACATGCAGCCAATTGGATAAACCTGTATCAGGACTGTGGTATCAAAATCCGATTTGACCATGTTCGGAGACAGCTCTGATCATAGCTACGTATTCTTCTTGCATCAACTTTACTCGTCTTTAGGCATGTTGGCCGAGAGAGCAGCACATATTTGTCACGTTGGCCAAACGATGGACCGAGGAATTATTCTCACACTCAAACACTTTCACATGCAAGTAAACCTGTTTCGGCCCCCAGAGAGGCCAGTTTACAAGCTCTCTCCAACTAATTGTCGAGTTTACTTCCATTTTGAGTGAAAATGTGCGGTAAAGAGATCGGAACGTCGGTTTCACCAGAAGACGACGGCGGATTCCTCTTGACCAGCTGTCGATTGGCTTTACCGGAACATTCACGGTGACGCTGTTTTCGAGGCAATCTCCTTAGATTACGGTGAAAAGCTGCCAAGCTTTCGTCCGTCACATGACGACCTTCATCAGAGCAAGGTATCATCGTCACGACAAAATGCAAGCTAGCGAGTCAAGAAAACTCACCGATAAATCCCTCAAAAGTGGTATATATACTCTACATCTTGATCAATCACATGCATCAATGTTGACATATGACCTTAACTAACCAAATCACTTTATACTTGATCAAGATGTAGAGTATATATACCACTTTTAAGGGATTTATCGGTGAGTTTTCTCGACTCGTTAGCTTAAATTTTGTTGTGACGATGATACCTTGCTCTGATGAAGGTCGTCATGTGATGGACGAAAGCTTAGCACCTTTTCACCGAAACCGAAGGAGATTATCTTGGAAACAGCGTCACCGTGAATGTTCCAGTAAAGCCAATCGACAGCTGGTCAAGAGGAATTCGGCGTCGTCTTCTGGTAGAACCGACTTTCGAATCTCTTCACCCAACACTTCTATTCGAAATGAAAGTAAGCTCAACAATTATGAAACAAGATATTCCTCGAGACCCATCTTTTCTCTCCAACAAAGCCTCCTTTGCAGCGCACATTTGAGTCACATTATTGACCAGGTTATCAGAAATAGTATTCGATGTATTAGTAGTAGTAGCAGTCGTTTATTTAACAAATAACCACTAGAAACTGATGCACCCCAACTATACCGTAATCATAAGAGTTGAAAAATAAATAATTGCTAAGCAACCCTATGGACAATACAGAGCAGCTTGCAGTAAAACAATCGGATATAATCGTAAATTTGAAGGTCAAGATGGTGTGGCCTTCTGTTTGGTCGCAGTTTCCTTTACCTTAATAATGTTGGTTCGACCTTGTTTTCGCAACTTGGTCAGATTATCAGGGAAACATTGTGAAACGTA